TATAATCAGAACTTATTACTTTGATAAGATTAGCAGACGAGAGGTGACAATGAATCATTCAATAAACTCGACCAATTATCTCCTTTTACAGTAATGATTTATTATTCAGCTCACCTCACCTTACTATGGTATTTTGCGACACTCAATGTAATATTTTTGTATTCATGATCATTACTTGGCGAACAAATAGCTAAATAATAAAAAATAAAATAAATGAAATTAACAGTTTAGATTAGCTTATATTCAATTGATTGCTGTACTGGAACAAGTCAAAGTAGCGTGTAAAATGGGTGATAATGTTTTAAGCTGTACAGGAATCCAGGCTAAAAAACCGTCACGACATTCTTGAGATTCTTGACAAACTGTTGTTAGGCTTGCGCCCATACTGGTCATAACGCATTTCCCATCCATCAGGAAGCCGCTCTTCCGCTGTTGCCGGCTGGAATGATAATAAATTTTCGAAAAAAAAATGGATGAATAGGAGCGGTGAAGCCTCAACTGATGAAAATATTTACTTGTTGGGACTGCGCAATAGTGTCTCGATTCTTCACTGAAGTGCGTCTTGCCATCGCTCCAGTAGATGTCGAGGCTTCGCCGTCAACAGGTTCAGCTAGGCGCCCATTTGAACCTTAATGTTAAGCAGCTGTGCGACAGTGACACGCGATGCGGCACACGATCGATATCGACTATCAATCACAGATTTCAAAAGGCCCGTAGTGACTCATGACGTTCGCACCAAAGCGTTTCTCGTTCATACACACTTTAAAAATCCAAAAAAGGCTGACAATAACATTAATAATGCCAGCACTTAAGCACTATAGCAACGGACTGTGTATGAAGGTGAAAAAACTGTCACATGAGGAGATTAGATAACCGAGTTGATGCAATGGAACTCACCTACGCTTCTTCGACTTCGTTCTAAATTACCAGAAAAAGCCACTTTCAGAGTTCCTACTTTGTTATTGTCTTTTCCATTGAGCTGGATAGAAATGGCGGTCGGATTAACTGCAAAGCATAGGAATAAGTGTTCATCTTGACCACGTGTGTGAACATAAATGGATGCTCCACTGAAGCAAGAATTAGCCACATAAAAAGATAAAATGAGAAGGAACCACTTACATTCCCCAGAGTCCAATTTTGGTATTGCCGCGATTTTCATCTGAGCCTGGGCGATCAGGGGATCGTCGAAAAGTTTCGCACGACTATATACACGAAAGAGAAGAACGGAAGAATCCGTCACCGGAAGCGAAAGCGATTCATCCCATTCTGGATTGTTGCTCTTCTTCTTGACGGAAGTCTTCTTGCTACTTTGACTGCCCTCAACGGACACTTCAACATAGGAATCGGCAGGTTTACTTAAAAAGCCACCCGTAGCATTGAGTTTTGCGGAGATAACTGAAAAATAGTTTGGTAGAGGTATCTGACTTAATTATTATACGATCGAGCTCGTGTGTATTTCATAGAAAAGAAGCTACTTTGAACGAAACTTACCTTTTATAGAAATTTTAACTTGCTTGGGAACACCATTCTGTACGGCCTGACTGGTACTCGAACTACTCGGCTGAGGTGAAGACTCATTTCGTGCCATAAAACTCAATACCTAAAGAATCCGAATAAGTTGGAGATCACGAGTGCAACCAAAATATCCGCGAATCACTGTCATAAACAAAACCAGAAAATGGAAAACACACAACACCTTTCCGCCCGGTAACATCCCTCTGGAAGCACTACCATATATTTGGGCTTCAATTTATGATCCTCCCTATGAACTACCGCTTTCGAAATCTTAAATGAAGCAGCAGAAGCTGAGCAACCAGTGAAAATCTATAATTTGCTAGGAATGACGAAGACCGTCGCATCGAGCCATTCTCCGGCGCTATAAACCTGAGCATCTAAATTTGAATCGAGTGCTTGCCGCGAAACAACATCTACTGCCACTATCCTTGCGGGACGATTTTTCCTGGGGTTGGGAATTTAAGAAATGTATTTCGTTACCACGGCACGGCCCACCTTTACTGCCCCGAAATCTCAAAAGGCGCAATATGCTCTTGGGGGAGGAGGGGGGGCAGTCTGTAGGAAAGCCGGGGTATGGTTCACTAGGACAGAAAGCGACTTTTCGCGTTTCGCAGCGCGAAACATTTTTCGCGGAACCTCGGGTCCACTGATTTTTCGCTGCGGGAACCTCGGGTCCACTGATGATCAGAGGTGGACCTGAGGTTCCCGCAGCGAAAAATGTTTTCGCGCTGCGAAACGCGAAAAATTCGCTTTCTGTCCTAGTGAACCACACCCAGAAGACCGCTAGAACTATGTTTAATGAAAAGGGTGAATTCCGGAGAAAATGACCTCGAATTCCCTCTTCTCCTCTGAGCTTGGTCTTAAATTGAAAGTTTGCGTGAATCCGACGCAAATGCTACGGTCTGGCCCTCCAAAGCTACATTGCGCCCTCTTATAGTTTTGTTTTTCGTCTTAACTTCACTCCGGAGGTAATTCGATGCCCCGATTACGTATATGACATATTTTCGACACTGACGCCATTTCGGGCCATTGGCGCCACTTTGCCACGATAGCATTTTCACAAATTGGGTGCTAACTTGTATGTAGGGGTATTTGGCGTCCTGATTACGAGTACGAAATTAGTTGTTGACGCGTATTTTCTGCTCATCGGATGTCGGGTGAGGTTCGCTGGGAGAAAAAAAGACTTTTTTGCTTTTCGCAAACTCACCCGGTCCACTAATGACCAACGGTGGACCTGAGGTTCTCGCAGCGAAAACAGTTTCGCGCGCGAAAAACGGAAAATTCGCTTTCTGTCCTAGCAAACCACACCCTCGGAGTCTCTCATTAGTGCCTAAGGCCAGCTCGTTGTGGAGGGGTACCAACAACATACCTCTGAACCCTCCTTTCCCCAAAGGCGTGTTCCTTATCACAATATAGTCAGAGAGAGGGCGCAGACGCAGTGGAAATAGACGCCAAATGGCGCCAGCGTCAAAAATGAATGCATATTCGTAATCGAGACACTTCTCGCGCAATCTCTGGTTACATATCCCCTTAGCAACGAAGTCCAGCCAAGCTTCCGGTGCTAACTTAGTTGGGGGGGGGCACGCGGCGGCGCGGCAGTCTGCTCACCTGGGCTCTCTCGAGCGAGACAGTGTAAACTCGAACATTCCAGCTTTTCACGCATGTCAAGTGACTGCCCCCACCCCCACCCCCTAGACTGCCTACACTCCCCCTGGCCCACGGATTTCCGAACATGCCAGGCGAGCAGACTGCCGCGCCGCCGCGTGCCCCCCCCCCAACTAAGTTAGCACCCGCGTTCCTTCGTGGTCAGTTGCGTTTTCCGAAACCTGACATCAACGACATCAACATTTTGAGTCTCGAAAACACTCTCTTTCTACACTTTCGGTTCAGTTGGGCTTTTTTTGCATTGGTGAAATTGAAAACTCAAAAACTGAATAAAATGGATCCTACGAGACTTGGCGATTTGAACCATGGTAAATTCAGCAGTGCTAGCAAACGCGGGTGCTATACAAGTAGGGTGGGCACGCCGCATTTTTTGAACAGAAATGCACATACTAAGTGGGACTGCTGCCCGCTACTATACTGTAACGAGAAGCGGAGAATTCGTGAGCTAGGGGGAGTGTAGCCAATCAAGGGAGGGGGGGGAGGCATACGCTTGAGAAGCTGTACATGCCCCCCGCACTCGTATAAAGCCTTCAGCTTTATCCACCCATTTCTTTTAGGTCCCGATGAGTTCCCTAATCTTACCTCACCTCTTTGAAATCAATATGAGCAGAAAGGCCGTTCGCTAGGTATAGTTCGATTCTCGAATAATACTTTGATCCCGTCCTGGTCGATTGATTGGTCGCCTACGTACGACTGACCCAAGGCTCGTGAACTTTGCTCCTCTTCCCCGCCATTGATTGAGTATTGCCTTCCAAATTCTCATGGCTTCAGAACCTTTTTGTCTTAGTAGTTTTTTTCTTGGCACCTTGGCAGGATAGTTGATATGCTTTAGCATCAAGTAGACTCACAGAGCTTTCCAATGGATTTAGTTTTATGGAAATTCCATTCGTAAACCATTTTATTGCTACCGACCCAACCTACTACTCTGTTCGCACCACCCACTTGTATAGCACCAAAACGCGAACAGAACATTAGGAGGTGAGGGGGAGGGTATTGGGTGTGATTCACTAGGACAGAAAGCGACTTTTTCGCGTTTCGCAGCGCGAAACATTTTTCGCTGCGGGAACCTCGGGTCCACTGATGATCAGCGGTGGACCTGAGGTTCCCGCAGCGAAAATGTTTCGCGCTGCGAAACGCGAAAAAGTCGCTTTCTGTCCTAGCGAACCACACTGATGCATCGTGGAGCATACACCGTCCCAGCAAAGATGACCCCATTCTACAGCAGCAGGAAGACTCGGTGTGTTTGCTCGTGTGAGAATGCAACTAACTGTGGGGGAGTTTCCAAACGAAATCGCTTATCAGGGCTTCGAATGCGTTGGGTACCTTCCGTCACGATGCTCTTTCACATATTATATTCAAAAAGTATTTATTGAAAATCAAATCGAGGACGCCCCTTGGTAACTAGAACTTCATAGAAATGAAAACAAAACTTGATGAGAGTGCTGATACCTACGCTCAAAATACTGTGAAATCAGATGGAAGACCGTAAACGTGGATTTACACTTCGAGATGCGGTTTACTAGGCCAAAAAGTGACTTTCCGCTTTTCGCACCGCGAAGCTTTTTTCGCTGCGGGATCACCAGGTCCACCAATGATGAGGGGTCGACGAACTACTTGAACTCAGCCC